CACTCCTGAAGGTCGTGGGTGAGTGATGTCTCTCGCAGGGGTTTCTGGAACCCAAGGAGGTGGTAGCCTGAAAAAGTTTGGGAACCACTGCATTCGAATTTTGATGGTTATTTATTTTCCCCCTCCCCTCCCACTCCTTTTGCAGAATCCGAGTTTTGAACGCTCAGCTCCCTCATCTCTCCGTGAAGCTGATCCCAAGGACTGGCGTCCAGCTGTCCCTCAGTGCCCAGCTGCACATCCGAGGCAGCGTGTGAGTCACCTGCTTCCGGTTTGGAGTTCTACGGGGTGGTTAACTTAGGATACTAGCAGTCGCTATCAGACCTAGGTGTCAGGGCAGGTGCCGCAGGGCCACGAGCAAGGTAATCTGGAAGGTGGGTGAGAGGGCCTTTAAATACGGTACTTTTTGAAAAGTATTCAGAAGACCGCATGCAGTTTGCAAGCTTCAGCCCATCAGAATATGGCTGCAAATTGAAGCATAGACACTCTCTGGGAGATCTGCTCTCTTCCACTATTGAATACGAATACGGATACGGATACAGATACAAATACAAATACAAATATTATATTATTTATACCCCACTCATCTGGCTGGGTTTCCCCAGCCACTCTGGGTGGCTCCCAACAGAATTTTAAAAACAGGATAAAAGATCAAACATTAAAAACTTCCCTGAACAGGGATGCTTTCATATGTCTTCTAAAAGTCAGATAGTTGTTTATTTCCTTCACATCTGAAGGGAGGGCGTTCCACAGGGCGGGAGCCACTACCGAGAAGGCCCTCTGCCTGGTTCCCTGTAACCTCACTTCCTGCAGTGAGGGAACCGCCAGAAGGCCCTCAGAGCTGGACCTCAGTGTCTGGGCTGAATGATGGGGGTTCTCTGTCTCTCCTTCTCTCTCCTATTACTTTCTTGATCTTTCTTTCTTCCTTCCTTTCTTCCTTTCTTCCTTCCTTCCTTCCTTCCTTCCTTCCTTCCTTCCTTCCTTCCTTTCTTTCTTTCTTTCTTTCTTTCTTTCTTTCTTTCTTTCTTTCTTTCTTTCTTTACAGAGTTTTAGGTGCAAGTGATGCAAAACAAGACTTTATGATGAGTAAACTTTGATAGTAAACTTTGGAGTATGAAAGCTCCATGTTTGCCAACTTGACATTTAATAAGAGGTTGAAAAATTCAATTGTGTAGGAGGTTTTGGAGGAGCATTTTCAATTTAGCTACAGAACTGTGGGCGGGTTAAGTCAGCTCCCATGAGAGCAGCAAGCTGTGCACTCCTCAGTCTTGGGGCAAACTGAGAGGTGTGAGCTCCCTGGGCACCCAGCACCCTCAACTGACTTTTCCCCTTTCCCCTCGGTGCAGCTTGATTGCTCCAGTGGAGCTGAGGGTGGGCTCCTCCATCCTGCTCGATGTCCGTGTCATGAGAAGCCCCCATGGATTCCCCATCCTGAGCGTCACGGCCTGCAAGTCCCTTCTGGGAGACGTGGACATCCTCCTGGGAGGTAGCAAGTGAGTAGCGGATACCTGTGCGCAGGTTGGGCTAGACTTGTGCTTTCCTGCAAGGGGGGGTGGGGTGTGAAGTTTCACCTTAGCTAGATTTCGTTCTCCTACCCTGAAAAAGAGAGTTTTGTTGAGCAGCCTGGGTCTATTGCTAGATTCATCTCCTGCTAGCGAACTCTCATCACCTGAAGAACATCTGAAGAACATTTTTATGTAATCTGAAGAACGTTTTTATCTAAGCCCCCCTGCTATGTCCCACTTGTCTTCCATCATGGAACTCAAGGTGGCAAGCAGATGGGTCCTCGGCAGTCTCCCTCCACCCCACCCCACAATTTTTTTGGGATACAACCTCTTCTCCCTGGGAGAGAAATCTCTGTCCATAGATTTGCAGAGGAGATGAGGATGGTGGGGAAAAAGACTAGAGGTCCCTAGGAAAAATTGGGGTGCTGCCAAGGATTCTATCTCCTTAAAGGTCATTTGTGGGGATGGTCTTTTGTCCCCCTCTATTGTGGATTGTATGGGACGCGTATTACCTTTACCTTTCCGATTTCCGTATTACTCACGGGTTGTTACTTTTAGTCCAAATGTTCAAAGGAAGAAGTCAGCGCTCTCCGACCATGGCATGCGGCTTCACTCCGTAGGAGAAGCAGCCGACTCTCAGCACCACGCCGCTCCCCGTCCCCCGTTCCGAAGCCTTTAAAAAGGCTCCTTCTCGGGTCGGGGGGGCCCGCAAATGGTGCCCGCCGAGTCACCAGGTCCACAGGCTTCAGCGCCTGTGGTTTCTGAGGGTCCCCGCGTCGCCGCCGTGGCAGGACCCGTCTCCTACTGAGCCGATTCCCTCCGGAGCTCGGAGGGAATCCGCCATTAGACGATGGCTCTAACCCGGAAGTTATTGTGGATTGTATGGGACGCGGGTGGTGCTGTGGGTTAAACCACAGAGCCTAGGACTTTACCTTTACCTATTTACAGTGAAGAATATGAAAGTTGTATGCATATGAAAGTTTATGCATATGAAAGTTGTATGCAAGAGAAAAATGGAAAGTGCTTGAACACTTGCTCTTTCTGATGCTTCTTCTCTGTGTCCTGTTCTCCAGTTTGCTGGGCTTCCTGAAACCCCTTCAGAACCACATCCGTGCTGTCTTAGTTGACAAGGTAAACTGCTTTGCTCATTCCTGTCCATTTTAGCGTGCGCGTACGCACACACACGCACGCACGCACACTAGAAAGGTCTTTGCTCTGGACCTGATCATGAGGCAATATGAGGCAGTCATCTCAAGCAACCGAGTGTCTTGGGTTCTGCAGTGTTGCTGTCGACAAAGTGCATTGGGATGTGAGTGGCAGGACGCCTTTGACTAGGGTTACCAGACGTCCCCGTTTTCTGGGGACAGTCCCCGGATTTGTGAATAAGTCCCCGGACAAATTCCATCCCCGGAATGTCCCCGGATTTCATCTAATGTCCCCGGGAAACGCAGCAGCGGCAGTCTCAGCAGCCCGGAGCAGTTGGCTCTTGCTGGCTTCAGGAGCTGCTCGGAAGTCCCCATATGATGGTGGTGCAGGGGCTCTAAGATGCAGCTTCTGGGCTGTCTCCACCTTCCCTGACCCCAGCAACTAAGCTGTGGAGGGAGGCTTCATGCTGCCTATCGGAGCTTGCATGCAAGCAGGATCTCTCAGTTAGGCAATGGGGAGCCTCCCTTCCCAGCTGAGGGATCCCCACCCCCTCCTGCTTGCACACAAGTAGGAATGAGATTCGGGCTGCTCTGATGGGAAGGGAGGCATTGTGCTACCTGAGCCTCGCCGCTGCCACCACTCTCTGCCCTCCTTCTCCACCTTCCATGCCTGACCCACCGCACACCGCTTCCCCACCACCACCACTGAACAACCAACAACTCAGGGGCTGCCCAGGCTCATGGAGAAAGGAGATAGAAGCCTCGGAGGAAGGGGAAACGTGGAGGTTGAGGTCAAGGCGGTGGCCGCCCCTCTGGCACTGCCATCACTGCAGCATCAATGTCCCGAACGTGTACAGTGGTACCTTGCAAGACGAATGCCTCGCAAGACGAAAAAACGCGCAAGTCGAAAGAGTTTTCCGTTTTTTGAGTCGTTCCGCAAGACGAATTTTCCTATGGGCTTGCTTCGCAAGACGAAACGTCTTGCGAGTTCTTGCGAGTTTGTTTCCTTTTTCTTAAAGTCGCTAAGCCGCTAATAGCCGCTAAGCCACTAATAGCCGTGCTTCGCAAGACGAAAAAACCGCAAGACGAAGAGACTCGCGGAACGGATTAATTTCGTCTTGCGAGGCACCACTGTAGTAATTAATTAAAGTGTCCCCGGATTCGTTAAAAAATAAATAAAATCTGGTAACCTTTTGACTTGCCTCTTTTCCTCCCTCCCCTCCCTCTCCCTAAGGACAACAAGACATGGATGGAAGGGTAAAGCAATCAAAGATGTAGAAGGGTTGAGGGAAAGCGAGTCAGTGGCCTTATGACCCCCTCTAGCTCCCACAATTTAAGAAGGATACAGACAAGCTGGAGGGTGTACAGAGGAGGGTGACCAAGGGTCTGGAAACTAAGCCTGATGACTAACGGTTGAGGGAGTTGGGTATGTTTAGCCTGGAAAAGAGGAGACTGAGAGCAGATATGAGAGCCATCTTCAAACACATTGCCACAAGGTAGGGTGGCCCACCTGATAGTGACCTGTTGATGAAACTCTCGCGTGACGAGACAAAGAGCTAACCCCTTGCAGCTGACTCACTGACCCTCTTTCCCCACCCCTCACTTTCCCTTTCACACAGATGTGCCTGAGCCTCTCCAGCGTGGTCCTGGGACTGAATGCCAGGCTGGGCACTTTGGTTGGTAAGTTGCCACACGAAGGGAGGAGCTTCTGGGTTCCTCTGCCCGCCCAACCCATAACTCATAGCAGAATCGAGGGCTATCTGTGCACCACACATTGTGGAAACGCAGAGTAAAAAATATTCTATTATTTTCGATAACATCATCATCATCATCATCATCAACAACAACAACAACAATAAATTAAGAAGTGCGCCACCTCCTGATGGTGAAACAGCCATGTAATGCATTTCAATGCATTTAAATTGACAAGTGTGAATGCAAGGGCCATTACAAAATGCACCAAAGAAAGGACTTCTTCACGGCTTAGGACCCTTATACCTACAGGACCGCCTCTCCCGGTATGCCCTGCAGAGGACCTTAAGGTCCATAAATAGCAGCACCCTAGAGGTCCCAGGCCCTAAGGAAGTCAGATTAGCCTCAACCAGAGCCAGGGCCTTTTCAACACTGGCCCCGTCCTGGTGGAACGCTCTGTCTCATGAGACCAGGGCCCTGCAGGATCTGATTTCTTTCCACAGGGCCTGTAAGACAGAGTTGTTCCACCTGGCTTTTGGCTTGGAATCAACTTGATTCCCTCCCCTCTTTCCTTTTTCCTTCTGTGATGGAACTCCTATTTGGGGACTTCCCTGTCTTTTTTCTGGCCCACGTAGGACCAGTCTGGATAGTTAGCCTTGGTGAAGACTTGACGTTTTCATCCCACGAAAAAGTTTTTGAGTTTCTGCTGAAATGAGGCTGCATTTTAATGTTGTATTTCAATCTTGTTTTTAAAGTTGTATTTCAATCAATTGTTTTATATCTGGTGTTAGCCGCCCTGAGCCCGTTCTTGGCTGGGGAGGGCGGGGTATAAATAAAATTTATTATTATTATTATTATTATTATTATTATTATTATTATTATTCAGCGCATAGTTAAACTATAGAACTCCCTTCCATGGTAAGGGACACCAGCCTAAGTAAAGGTAAAGGGACCCCGGACCATTAAGTCCAGTCGTGGCCGACTCTGGGGTTGCAGCGCTCATCTCGCTTTACTGGCCGAGGGAGCCAGCGTACAGCTTCCGGGTCATGTGGCCAGCATGACTAAGCCGCTTCTGGCAAACCAGAGTAGCACACAGAAACCCCTTTTACCTTCCCGCCAGAGCTGTACCTATTTATCTACTTGCACTTTTTAGCGTGCTTTTGAACTGCTAGGTTGGCAGGAGCTGGGACCGAGCAACAGGATCTCACCCTGTCACGGGGATTTGAACCGCTGACCTTCTGACTGGCAAGCCCAAGAGGCTCTGTGGTTTAACCCACAGCGCCACCCACGTCCCAGGCCACCAGCCTAGATGGCTTTAAATGAGGATTGGGCAAATTCATGGAGGAGGGGAGGGCTATTGATGGCTACTAGGCAGGATGGCTTTACTCCACAGCTGGAGGCTGGAGGCAGCAATGCTTCTGAATTCCAGGGGTTAGAAGTCACAGGAGGGGAGGATGCTCAAATCCTGTTCAGTTGCTGTGAGAACAGGATGCTGGACTAGATGGGCCAATGGCTGATCCAATAAGCTCTTTAGAATTTCTCATGATGGCATCCGAAAATGCCAACGATGAGAGGAAAGGTGAAGAAAGGGGGAACAGCCTGAGTCTTTTACATAACTTGCTTGCAAAGGGATTGGGCAGAAAACCAACCCACCCGATAGGTGTGGAGACCTTGTTGATGCAAGGTTGAGCTCAGTTTACCTGTTGGAGGAGCAACTTCCTCTTTGCTCTGCTCCAGAGCCCAGTGTCGGTTTCTCCTGAGCCCCTCTGTCCTTTTTTGATCCCTCTTAATGGGAAAATTAAATATGCTTTAAGGGCTGTGTAAGGAGGAAGGTCAATATTGACCAGCACCTGCTCAGTCAACAGAAGATTACAAGAGCCACCTTCCTGCAACAAGGTCCTGGAGCTGAGCCAGCTGGGAAGATATTTTGGAGAATTGCAGTGGTGTGTGTGTTCCTGGAGACTGTTTTCAAATGTTAGGGAGCCTTGAGGGTTCCTTTTCTTTTGAGTGTATCAGGTATATTTTGCTGACAAAACAGCTGCAAGGTTCATTCCCTGACTGGCTCTCTGTTGGCCTACTGGCTTTGACCAGGTCCATACTGGTTCTCTTGTGAGATCTTGGGGCTGTGCGGTTTTGTGTGGGTTCTCATAGGCAGTTTCAACAGCAAGCCAACAGATCTGGGTTAAGGGCAGAGCTTCTCCATGTTCAGGATACCAACACAGCCCCATTGGGTAGATCTCAAGCATCCCCTATAGAAGGTTCAACTTCAGTCCTCCATTCTGAGGCTGCTGAGATAGCAAAGACCACTGCAAGGCAGAGTAGAACCTAATTTGTTATCAACACAAAAATGTGACGCTTCAGTGCGCAGGGTCAGCCCATTGATCCGTGGCTGTATGATTATAGTTCAATAACAAATTATTTTGCATCCTTTCTTATTTACCCAATTAGAGAGTGCAAGCTTGTAGGCAGGGACTCTCCCCACCGTTAAAAAAACCACAACTTTATTGAAAATTGTAAAAACATTTGCCAAACACAAAGTGTTGTCTCCCAAGATGAATGCATGTACAGATGTTACGTCTTGTCTGCAGCCATCCATACAGCATCAAAACAAACTTTTTCTATTACAGATGAAGCTCACATCCACAGGATAGGCTTCAGTCTAAAGCGTTCAGGTCATTTCTCCATAGCTGTGTACTTTTAAGTCTTACTCTTCTTACTCACAACATATTATACCCTGCTCTCTATATAAAAAGGCCCTCAGATTGGCTTATAAAAACCAGTACTAAGTCCTCGGTCCCTGACGTCAAGCTCTAAAAAGGCACAACACACAAGGAAAGAGGAAGGTGAGAGGAGGAGGAAAAAGCAAATTCATGCAGAAGTTCTTAAAAGTTGCAGCTGATGCCCATGGCAGTTCTTAGTGTCTTCACAGAATCATAGGACTTTGGAGTTGGGGGGACTCCAAAGGTTATCTAGTCCAGCCTGCTGCGATGCTGGATTTTTAAATTGCATTTTAACCTGTATTTTAAATTGGGGTTTTCCCCCCTTCTCCCTCTCTTTCCCCCCTATTATGTTTTTACTGTGATTTTTTTTTTATTGGTGTTATCCGCCCTGAGCCCGGCTCTGGCCGGGGAGGGCAGGGTATAAATAAAATTTATTATTATTATTATTATTATTATTATTATTATTATGCCCTTGATAAAGAGCAGTCCTTCCCTTGAATCACCCCCCAGAGGTAGTGGACAGGGTCCAGGCCAGAAGGGCAGGGCACCTTGTACAGTACTTGAATTGGAAGGTACTTCATTACGACGATTGATTTATGAATGATGATGAAACTGCAGAGCTAAAACTGCGTGCAGAGCCCTCAGTGTAACCCAATGTCCTCTTTGTACCATCATTTCGCCCCCTGTAGGCCTGAATTCCATCAACCCCATGTCAAGCCTCCAGTACGCCATGATGGAAGATCCTGAGATCACCGAAGATTACATCGATTTGGATTTAAACGTAGGTTCCCTACACCCCACCCCAAGCCTGCGGGGCTCCCACTTAGCCTGGGAACCAGACCTCGCATGAACACATGTGCCATATAGCTCAGGAGCAGGACAGCTGCCCTGCATGTAGAAGGTCCCAGGAAGATCTCCAGGTAGGAGCGAGGAAGTCTTCTGCTAATGGGCATTGTAGACCCGCCTTCCCCAACCTGGTGCCCAACAGATCTTTTGGACCACAAGACATATCTGATGTAGCCAGCTGGACTCATAGTCCAAAATGACCGGAGGGGATCAGGTCGTAGAAGATGGATGGAAACAATATTGACGGATCCTCGGTTTGTCTTGCAGGATAACTTGGAAAATGATGACCAAAAGTCCAGCTGTAGCATTATTATCCATTTACGATGGGGTGGGAGGTTCACAGGCTATGAAGGACTTGCTCACAAATCTATTGACAGCTGGACAAACCATGATAGCCAGGAAGTGGAAGGGGCAAGGGGAATATAAAATGGAAGAATGGTACAAGGAGGTGTGGAATATAGCTATTAACGATAAATTAGTGTGGGCCATTAAGGTAAGATGGGGAATGTGCAGGAGAGATGATTTTGAGGAGATATAGAGGGTGTTTGTACAATTTGTACTGTTAAAACAGAAAGGGGCCAAACTATCGCAAGAGGTGTTGAAATTTTGGGAGGTTGGATAGTTACAATGGAATGGTCTTGGAGGTGGGGTGCACAATTTTATTCTTATATATGTATGATTATTGCTTTGTCAAAAGAAAAAGGAAGAAAATGAATAATCCCCTTGGCTAAGTTCTTGCACAGCTCTTACAACTCTGGCACATGTTGCCATACAACTCTGGTCCTCTCATTGGCCTGATCTAGCAGAACTCTTATCATGTTCAGAGAATGGCAACCAAAATCACCCAGGGAATGGAGAAACTCTCCCATGAGGAAAGGTTGCAGCACTTGAGATTTTTTCCCCTTCAAGTTTAGTTTAGAGAAAAGGTGACTAAGAAGCAGGTTTGATGAGGCCCTAACTAAAGGTAAAGGTACCCCTGCCCGTACGGGCCAGTCTTGACAGACTCTAGGGTTGTGCGCCCATCTCACTCTATAGGCCGGGGGCCAGCGCTGTCCGGAGACACTTCTGGGTCACGTGGCCAGCGTGACATCGCTGCTCTGGCGAGCCAGAGCCGCACACGGAAACGCCGTTTACCTTCCCGCTAGTAAGCGGTCCCTATTTATCTACTTGCACCCGGGGGTGCTTTCGAACTGCTAGGTTGGCAGGTGCTGGGACCGAATAACGGGAGCGCACCCCGCTGCGGGGATTCGAACTGCCGACCTTTCGATCGGCAAGCCCTAGGCGCTGAGGCTTTTACCCACAGCACCACCCGCGTCCTTTCAGAGGCCCAAACTACTGAAGGTAAAATAAAGGTAAAGGGACCCCTGACCGTTAGGTCTAGTCATGGCTGACTCTGGGGTTGCGGTGCTCATCTCGCTTTACTGGCCGAGGGAGCCGGCGTACAGCTTTCGTGTCATGTGGCCGGCATGACTAAGCCGCTTCTGGCGAACCAGAGCAGCGCACGGAAACACCTTTTACCTTCCCGCCGGAGCGGTACCTATTTATCTACTTGCACTTTGAGGTGCTTTCGAACTGCTAGGTTGGCAGGAGCAGGGACCGAGCAATGGGAGCTCACCCCATCACGGGGATTCGAACCGCGACCTTCTGATCGGCAAGCCCAAGAGGCTCTGTGGTTTAACCCACAGCACCATCCGCGTCCCGTACTGAAGGCAATGGGGCCCTTTATATGTCCAGCTGTCCTTTGTCAACAACAAATTGTCACTGTTTTTTGTGTTGAATATATTTGTTGTTGTTTAGTCGTTTAGTGGTGTCCGACTCTTTGTGACCCCATGGACCACAGCACGCCAGGCACCTCTGTCCTCCACTACTTCCCGCAGTTTGGTCAAACCTCGCTGGTAACCTCGGTAACCTCGAAAACACTATCCAACCATCTCGTCCTCTGTCGCCCCCTTCTCCTTGTGCCCTCCATCTTTCCCAGCATCAGTGTCTTCTCCAGGGAGTCTTCTCTTCTCATGAGGTGGCCAAAGTACTGGAGCCTCAGCTTCAGGATCTGTCCTTCCAGTGAGCACTCAGGGCTGATTTCCTTCAGAATGGATGCGTTTGATCTTCTTGCAGTCCATGGGACTCTCAAGAGTCTTCTCCAGCACCATAATTCAAAAGCATCCATTCTTCCACGATCAGCCTTCTTTATGGTCCAGCTCTCACTTCCATACATCACTACTGGGAAAACCATGGCTTTAACTAGACGGACCTTTGTTGGCAAGGTGCTATATGGTAATTGATGGACCTAATAGGTATCTAAAGCCATTTGCACATGTTGCCCTGCAACCAGTCCATGCAGAATGTAGGCACCCTATATATAGAAATGAGCAAACTAATGATATTTTAGGGAGCAGGCTAGCAGGCAGGCCCATGACTTACATCATAGGAGCCTACACAACACAAAACACTGTTGCTGTATGTAGGTTTTATTTTATTAGTTTTTTAATCTTATATTTTGGAAAGGTTCATTCATTTTCTTTCCTTTAAGTGTTTCTTGTTGCCCCCAAGAGAGTGGGGCCCTAAGCTAGAGCTTGTTTAGCTTATACGTAAATCTGGCACTGCTAAGAAGGGACATAATGGAAGCTCATTAAAAGCTCCCCCCCTTTCATAACACAAATAATAATAATAATAATAATAATAATAATAATAATAATAATAATAATTTATTATTTATACCCCAGCCACTCTGGGCAGCTTCCAAAATATATATATTAAAATACTGTACTACATCAAACATTGAAAGCCTCCCTAAACAGGGCCCCCTTCAGATGTCTTCTAAAAGTCTGGTAGTTGCTGTTCTCTTTGACATCTGGTGGGAGGGCACCCAACGAAGCAGAATGAGATGCAGACAGATAAATGGAAGTTCTTCCATCATGGAAATGTGGAACTCACTGCCACAGGAGGTCATGATGAACCCAGATGGCTTCAAAAGAGGATCGGGCAAATCCATGAAGGAGAATAAGGCTACTAGGACTATTAGCCAGGATGGCGATGCCGTACACCCACAACTGGAGTCAGGAAATGTTTCTGCGCACCAGTCGTTGGAAAACGCAGGAAGGGGGATGGCACTTAATTCTGTCTCTTTCCAAATCTCCGCAGGCTGTCATTGCGCTGATGGGGAAGCCAGTCGACTTTGAACCTGCCGCCCCTCTGCCCCCTTTCTCTCTGCCACCCCCAGAGACGGTTTCCGATGACTCCATGGTGAACATGGGCCTCTCGGAGCATCTCTTTGCCAGCCTTTTCGCCAGCCTGGAGCAATCGGGAGCCCTGAACCTCCAAATCGGAGGCCAGTCGGTCAGTAGAGGGAGTGTGATTTGTGCGTAGTGAATACCACCCTAAGCCGAGCCGAGCCCAAACCTGTTTATTTATTTCCCAACATTTATACCCTGCTTGATTGCAATACACACACACACACTCACACTCAAAGTGGTTTATGGAAAATATAAAACAATGGAATCACCAATGAGAAGAAGTCACAGCAATAATTTAATTATTTAAATATCCTTTATTCATAAAAAAAATATTTGCCTACAGCTGTGTGATTTACAAAAATCTATCAAAGCAGTTGCTTTTGTTGTTGTTGTTGATTATGTTTATTTAAATCCCTCCTTTTTCCCTGTCAAGGACTCGAAGTGGCTTACAGATAAAATAGAAACTGCTAAACACATAGGGAAACAATTTTTAAGAAAGAATTAAATACACACACACACACATGCAAGTTTAAACTTGCATATGTGTGTGTGTGTGTGTGTATACACACACACACACACACATACTATTCTAAAAGAAAAAAAAGTGTTTGCAGATAATGCAGAAATGGGACAGACTTCTGGAAACAGACAAACCTGGAATGCCCTAGACTCTCAGAGCAGGGGGACAGAGGAGAGACCCAAGCTGTTCCTAAGGCCCGAGACTGAGAATTCTTTGCTTCTTTTCAGAGCCACCTCACCACCTCCATGCTGGAGCAGGCCATCCCCTCGGTAAGTAATGTCCAGGAACCAAAGCAGGCCTGGCGAACCCTTTATTTGATTGAGGTATTTTAAGGTAAAGGTAAAGGGACCCCTGACAGTTAGGTCCAGTCGTGGCCGACTCTGGGGTTGCGGTGCTTATCTCGCTTTATTGGCCGAGGGAGCCGTCGTACAGCTTCCGGGTCATGTGGCCAGCATGACTAAGCCACTTCTGGCAAACCAGAGCAGCGCACGGAAACGCCGTTTACCTTCCCACCATTTACCTTCCCGCCGGAGTGGTACCTATTTATCTACTTGCACTTTGACGTGCTTTTGAACTGCCAGGTTGGCAGGAGCAGGGACTGAGCAATGGGAGTTCACCCCGTCAAGGGATTTGAACTGCCGACCTTCTGATTGGCAAGTCCTAGGCTCTGTGGTTTAACCCACAGCGCCACCCGTGGACCATAGCTGTCAACTTTTCCCTTTTCTTGCGAGGGATCCTATTCAGAGTAAAGGAATTTCCCTTTAAAAAGGGAAACGTTGACAGCTATGCCAGGGATGGGGTACACATGGGCATGCAACTGCCTAATGGCATCTGTGTCACCCAGGGGATTGCAGCTGCAGAGATAGGAAAAGAAGAGTTGTTCCATTGTCTGGAAAGGTCGCTTCCTGGTTCGCATGGAGAAGCCATTTTCAACGGATCCCAGCGACGGAAGCGTGCAGCTGTATTGAGGCAGCGCCGGGTGTTGACATTTTGCGCCCCTAACAATTTTGTGCCCAGAGCAACCGCCCCTTGTGGTCCCCCCCACTACGTCATTGGGTAGAGCGTCTCTGCCAGGGCTAAAGGGGCCTAATTCTGCATAAGGCAGCTTCAGGTGTGCGATGGGCCGCAACAATGCAAATAACACCCCCCTCCTTCCATTCCCACTATAGATCTCAAAGCGTTACCCCCAGGCTGTTGCCTTGATGCTCAATGTGGTAGTCAGCAAGCTCCCCATCATCAGCTTCCATGAGGGCGCAGCGATCCTGCGCCTCAGTCCCGCCATCCAGGTGGGCGTGGCTGAATCCGGATCTTTCCAACAGTCGCAGGCGCTCTTCACCCTGGGCGTGGTAAGTAAAAGCAGCTAGCCTTCGTTTCCTTGTTCTCCTGCCTTGGTGACTTGCAGCTCTCAGGGACATGACGGCTCGCTCACCACGAAGGTTGGATGTTGAAGCTCTTGCTGGACAACAGCCGTTGTGCTGGGCTCCATCTGAATGCAGCTGGGACGAGTCTCGCACTGCAAATGCACACCTGTGTGTGAACCGCGATCTACAATGGTTGTGCATCCATATGGATCTCCTAAGGGACCATCTCTGGGCTGCATCAATAGGAGTATAGCATCTAGATCAAGGGAAGTAATAGTGCCACTGTATTCTGCTCTGGTCAGACATCACCTGGAGTACTGTGTCCAGTTCTGGGCACCACAGTTCAAGAAGGACACTGACAAAGTGGAACGTGTCCAGAGGAGGGCAACCAAAATGGTCAAAGGCCTGGAAACGATGCCTTATGAGGAATGGCTAAGGGAGCTGGGCATGTTTAGCCTGGAGAAGAGGAGGTTAAGGGGTGATATGATAGCCATCTTCAAATATAGAAAAGGATGTCATATAGAGGAGGGAGAAAGGTTGTTTTCTGCTGCTCCAGAGAAGCGGACATGGAGCAATGGATCCAAACTACAAGAAAGAAGATTCCACCTAAACATTAGGAAGAACTTCCTGACAGTAAGAGCTGTTTGACAGTGGAATTTGCTGCCAAGGAGTGTGGTGGAGTCTCCTTCTTTGGAGGTCTTTAAGCAGAGGCTTGACAACCATATGTCAGGAGTGCTCTGACGGTGTTTCCTGCTTGGCAGGGGGTTGGACTCGATGGCCCTTGTGGTCTCTTCCAACTCTATGATTCTATCTCACCTCATATGTCCCTGCGCCGTAGCTATGTTCCTCAGATGAAGGCACTGCTGAGAGCACCATGTGACCTAGGGATGTGCTTAGTATGTACTAGAACCTGGGCTTTTAGTGTTGCAGCTCCAGCCCTCTGGAATGAGTTGCCAGCTCAAATAAGACATTGATATTTTATGCATTGTCCTCTTGCAAATCAAGCAAGTGATGCATCTAAGCAGAAGTCTCCTCTTGAGGTCTGACCTGGTCATTTTAGGGAAAATTAATTGTACTATTGTAGAAACGAGGCTATTTCTTTTAGTTTACCAAGTCTGCAATTTTTATTTACAGTCTGTATTTTATCTTACTATCTGCCTGTTTGGCAGCTTTCAATTGTCAAGTGGTTTATAAATATTTGCACTTGTCCATCGACACTCAGGAGACTGAGTGTGCCTACCCAGGTAGGATTTTAAAATATAGGATTTCTGCTCTCAGTGGGCAATGGGTTGGGCAAGCTGTGGGTGGGTCAGGGAGCTGAAGCAAGCTGCACAGGTGGGGTGTCTGTGCGCGGCAGGTTGGGTGAGGTGTAAAAGGAAGAGGGTGTGGGGTGTGTGTGACAAGCAACACAATCACAGGAGGCAGCTCCTATTATTACTACAGTTGTGCCTTGGTTGTGGAACGCCTTGGTACTCGTACGTTTTGGCTCCCGAACTTTCGAAACCCAGAAGTGAGTGTTCCAGTTTTTGAACTTTTTTTGGAAGCCCAACGTCCGATGCGGCTTCCGCTATTGTTTCCAGTGCGCCTGCGCAATCGGAAGCCAATCAGAAGCCGCACCTTGATTTCAGAAGTCGAACAGACTCCCTGAACGCATTCTGTTCAAAAACCAAGGTACGACTGTACAGTCATACCTCGGGTTGAAGTTGCTCCAGGTTGAGCGCTTTCGGGTTGCGCTCCGCGGCGTCCTGGAAGTAACGGAATGTGTTACTTCTGGGTTTTGCCACTCGTGCATGTGCAGACGGTCAAAATGATGTCATGCGCATGTGCGGAAGCAGCAAAATGCGACCCACACAAGCTCAGATGCGCAGTCGTGGGTTGCATTCACTTCAGGATGCAAACAGGGCTCCAGAATGGATCCCGTTCACATCCTTAGGTACCAATGTATATTAAGGTAAAGGTAAAGGTAAAGGGACCCCTGACCATTAGGTCCAGTCACGGACGACTCTGGGGTTGCGGCGCTCATCTCGCTTTATTGGCCGAGGAGCTGGCGTACAGCTTCCAGGTCATGTGGCCAGCAGGACTAAGCTGCTTCTGGCGAACCAGAGCAGCACACGGAAACGCCGTTTAACTTCCCGCCAGAGCAGTACCTATTTATCTACTTGCACTTTGATGTGCTTTCAAACTGCTAGGTTGGCAGGAGCAGGGACTGAGCAACGGGAGCTCACCCCATCGCGGGGATTTGAACCGCCGACCTTCTGATCAGCAAGTCCTAGGCTCTGTGGTTTAACCCACAGCGCCACCCGCGTCCCACCACTGTATATTACTATTACTATTGCTATTAAAATTTGAATACCGCCCTTCATTTGAAGATCATAACATGGTTCACAACATAAAAGTATTATAAACAAACAAGGAAACAAACAAACAAACAAACAAACAAACAAACAAACAAACAAACAAACAAAGGATAGAGCCTTTGTAGCTTTCTCTCATGAAAACGATCCCCTCCTGGTCTTCTGTTTGCAGGATCTGACCTTAGCTGTCAAGCTGGATGTCACCATTACAAGTCTCCATCTGACAGTTGCCATCCATGGGTGAGTTCAGCCAGACATTTTACTTTCCTTACCATTTTACTTCCTGCCTCACCCCCCACCCCGCCTGACGAGGGCCAACTGTTTTCTGCTTCCATTGTGGCGAAGGATGAAAGGGACACTCCAGTCCCCGTCCTTTCCTCAGGGACCTGATGGACCCGAGTGTCCAGTTCAGTGGTGCAGCTGATGCCATCATGGCTCATGTCGTTCTGCTTTGTCTTGCAGAGATGTTGGTCTGGAGGTGGAGTCATCCAGCGTGGAGATAACAGAGGTACGCCATCTGCCTTTTGCCTTCCTTGCTGCGCTCCATGGACGTAGCCAGGATTTTTGCTTGGGGGGGATTTAGCTGGGGTGGTGGTGGTTTGCTGTGTATTTTACGCCCATGTTGTGCTCCCAAGTGGGTCCAATAGATGTTCTGAGCCTGTTTAGGCCACGTCTTCTGCAGTATCTCAAGACTCTAGGGGGCTCTGGGTGCCTGAGCACCCACAAAAAAATTGTTGTGGGTGCTCAGCTCCCACACTGCAGGGTCCCTGACGCAACCTCTGAGGTTCTACAGCAGGGGTCAGCAAAATTTTCTCTGGCCGGCTTTCAACAAAATATTAAAATACAGTAATGCACCAAACATTAAAAGCTTCCCTAAACAGGGCTGCCTTCAGATGTATCCTAAAAGTCTGGTAGTTGTTTTTCTCTTTGACATCTGGTGGGATTCAGGTGTGCAAAAGTTGTGTAAAAGCCCCAGGTCTGACCCTTAGAGTCATCTCTAACTTTTGGCCTCTCCTACTGTACATTGATCCTCTGTGTCGTTTCACCAGTAATGAATTGTAGCCTCTCTGCAGACGGTTTTTTCATTCTTACTCTGTGCGCACGTGTATCCGGGGGTCAGGTGGCCCAAACCTCCCTTGCTTATGGGGGAAGGACCACAGGGCAGTGGGTGGCACACCCGTTTTAGTTGCAAGAAGTCACAGGTTCACTTCCTGGCAGAATAATAATAATAATAATAATAATAATAATAATAATAATAATGTATACCCCTCCCATCTGGCTGGGTTTCCCCAGCTACTCTGGGCAGCTACCAACCAAATATTAAAAATGCAATACAGCATTAAACATTAAAAACGTCCCTAAGCAGGGCTGCCTTCAGATGTCTTTTAAAAGTAAGATAGTTGTTTATTGCCTTGACATCTGCTGGGAAGGCGTTCCACAGGGTGGGTGCCACCACCGAGAAGGCCCTCTGCCTGCTTCCCTGAACCTCGCTTCTCGCAGGGAGGGAACCGCCAGAAGGCCCTCGACGCTGGACCTCAGTGTCTGGGCTGGACGACAACATCTGCTGAATGACAGCATCTGCTGGTAGGGCTGTGAAGGAGCCCTGAGTCTACAACCCTGGGGAGTCGCTGCAAGACATGGAAGAATCTGTCCATTTCGGCTGCTACGGTTTCTCTTTCTTCCATTCTTAAATTCAGTTCTCCACATTTTGCAGCAATTTGTGATGTTTCATACAGTGAAACTTCACTAGTGTCTTAGTGCAAATTTCCCCTAATAAACACATTTTTATATGCAGTTTTGACCGAAGAGGCATTTTTTACAAGCAATTTCCCCACATGCAATGTATTTTTTGCCTCTTATATCTTCATTTTCATGCACTCTTCCCCTTCACCACATGCATTCTTGTAAACGTTGGTTGCTTTGAGAACTGCATTGCAAAATTCAGGCGAGTGCGGATTTCAAAGCCTAGTCCTGTGTTTCGGTCTGCCTATTGTTTCTGAATGTGTGAATTGGATAGAATAGGCTTTCGGTGCTTCGTCAATCAAATTTCTTCCCCATCCCTAGTTGCTGTCAGTCAGAGCAGATGAAATTATCATATCACCCCTTAACCTCCTCTTCTCCAGGCTAAACATGCCCAGCTCCTTTAGCCGTTCCTCATAAGGCATCATTTCCAGGCCTTTGACCATTTTGGTTGCCCTCCTCTGGACATGTTCCAGTTTGTCAGTGTCCTTCTTGAACTGTGGTGCCCAGAACTGGACACAGTACTCCAGGTGAGGTATTCTGCTCTGGTCAGACCTCACCTGGAGTACTGTGTCCAGTTCTGGGCACCACAGTTCAAGAAGGACACTGACAAACTGGAACGTGTCCAGAGGAGGGCAACCAAAATGGTCAAAGGCCTGGAAATGATGCCTTATGAGGAACGGCTAAAGGAGCTGGGCATGTTTAGCCTGGAGAAGAGGAGGTTAAGGGGTGATATGATAGCCATGTTCAAATATATAAAAGGATGTCACATAGAGGAGGGAGAAAGGCTGTTTTCTGCTGCTCCAGAGAAGCGGACACGGAGCAATGGATCCAAACTACAAGAAAGAAGATTCCACCTAAACATTAGGAAGAACTTCCTGACAGTAAGAGCTGTTCGACAGTGGAATTTGCTGCCAAGGAGTGTGGTGGAGTCTCCTTCTTTGGAGGTCTTTAAGCAGAGGCTTGACAACCATATGTCAGGAGTGCTCTGATGGTGTTTCCTGCTTGGCAGGGGGTTGGACTCGATGGCCCTTGTGGTCTCTTCCAACTCTATGATTCTATGATTCTATGATTCTATGAAATTGTGCTAGGAAGACCGGTGGTCTGACTCTGCACAAGGGAGCTTCCTTTGCTCCTCTGTGCTCACTCATGTCCAGATCTGGGACCAACCCATTGCCTTTTCTCTCCTGGCAGATCTCCTATTTGAGACGTGTGGTCCTCTCTGAATTTCAGGATGCTTTCCTGGCTCACGTCAACGGTAATGCAGGCGAATCGCTTCAACAGCCGCTCCACTGAGGTCCTAGGAGCTCAGCACCGAGAGGGAGGGGGGCTGTGTGAAGAACATGGGGCCATGCCCCACAGTTGCCCCATCAAGTTGGGGGTGTTGACCGTGTTGTCGTTTTCCCTTTGCAGCTGCTCTGAGAGTGGGGATCTCTCTTCCCAAGCTCAACAACGTCCAGTACATCGAGCCTGAGATCGAGATTCATGAGGTGAGACTCCTTGGGCTGCGCTGCCTCCGTCCTTTTCTTCAGCCCCACTTATTTAGCTAAGACATTCCCAAATCACCTGCCTGAGGGTTTCCCCACAATGGGCATCTGGTTGGCCACTGTGAGAACAGGATGTGGGACTAGATGCTGGGCCCATTGGCCTGGTGCAGCTGATGTTCTTCTGAGTGGTCCATGATGAACACAACAGCTGAAGATGCTCAAGATCTTCTCCTTAAACACTGAGCATAACTGAGGTCAGATTGACCCACCTTTGGAAAACATGGGAGCCTGTCCATAGTAGTAGCAATAATAATAATAATTTATTATTTATACCCCACCCATCTGGCTGAGTTTCCCCAGCCTCTCTGGGCAGCTCCCAATTGAGTGTTAAATACAATACAGCATTAAATATCAAAAACGTCCCTAAACAGGGCTGCCTTCAGATGTCTTTTAAAAATAAGATAGCTGCTTGTTTCCTTCACATCTGCTGGGAGGGCATTCCACAGGGCGGGTGCCACCACTGAGAAGGCCCTCTGCCTGGTTCCCTGTAGCTTTGCTTCTCGCAATGAGGGAACCGCCAGAAGGCCCTCGGAGCTGGACCTCAGTGTCCAGGCAGAACGATGGGGGTGGAGACGCTCCTTCAGGTATACTGGACCAAGGCCGTTTAGGGCTTTAAAGGTCAGCACCAACACTTTGAATTGTGCTTGGAAATGTACTGGGAGCCAATGCAGATCTCTCAGGATCTGTGTTATGTGGTCTTGGCGGCCGCTCCCAGTCACCAGTCTAGCTGCCACATTCTGGATTACGTAATTGCAGTTTCCAGGTCACCTTCAAAGGTAGCCCCACGCAGAGCGCATTGCAGTGGTCCAAGCAGGAGATAACCAGAGCATGCACCACTCTGGCGAGACAGTTTGTTGGCAGGGAGGGTCTCATCCTGCATACCAGATGGAGCTGATAAACAGCAGCCCTGGACACAGAATTGACCTGCGCCTCCATGGACAGCTGTGAGTCCAAAATGACTCCCAGGCTACGCACCTGGTCCTTCAGGGGCACAGTTACCCCATTCAGGACCAGGGAGTCCTCCACACCCGCCCGCTTCCTGTCCCCCCTCCTGTCTGGGCAGAACGATGGGGGTGGAGACGCTCCTTCAGGTATACAGGACCGAGGCCATTTAGGGCTTTAAAGGTCAGCACCAACACTTTGAATTGTGCTCGGAAACGTACTGGGAGCCAAATGTTGTTGGACCACATACGACTCCCATCATTGCTGCCCCTTGGCCATGCTGGTTGGGCCGATGGGATTTGGAGTGCAACGCCATCTGAAGGGGCACTGCGTTGGCTCCTGAGTGCCATCTTGCACCCAGTCTCCTGAGACCCAGAAATAAACTGCTTCTGTGTAGGATAATTTGAACACCTTTCCATATTGTTCCTCTACCCAAGATCCCTCTGGCAGCATGTATTGACTCTCTTCTTGCCTTTTAACTTACAGGGTTATGCTCAGGTCAACTGTGACCTTGACTACCAGCCCTGAGCTGAAAAGAAGAGCACAGAGTCCTCCTCTGCAAGGCACATTTATCTCTGCTCTTTGCACCTGCAAATCCTTTCGCTTTTGAATGAAGGAGAGTCTACCTTTCTTTGCTGCATGACACAGAGGAAACACACCTGGTGGTTTGGCAGCAGGCAATGAACAGGGGTGCTATCTGGAACCCATTCGCTCAGAAATAAGGCCTGCCAATTTAAAGGAAACTTACTTCCCAGTAACGCACGGGTTCATGCATTCATTAGGTGTTCTGCTTTCTCAATTCTTTTCCTGTAAATGTTGTTGAGTGAAATAAATACTATGGGCAGCAATCGAGCCAAAGCAAAGTGTGATGATTTCAGTGGATTCTTAACTTTTCCTGAGGAAATCAATGGGATTTGCAAGTGCTGAAATGCAACTGGATCGTGTCCATCATTTTGCCTCATTAAAATACTCTTTCTGATCTCAATTGGTTGGGGTGTTGCAGCCGTTTTCAGAATGAAATAGCCAACCATCATGCTCTGCAGGGTTTTATTTTATTTTTTTAAATAATATTTTATTAGGATTTTCCAAAAAGTTGACAACCAACAAAAATCAACAAAAATCACAAAAAACTGCAGGGTTTTAGCCAATGAAGTTTTCCAGTTACAGCACAAGGGCTTTCGCCTGCACAGTGGGACTTCCTCTTCCCATACACCCCATATCTATTTTAGGGGTTCCCCCAGTCCCTAGTTTCCTGGTGGGAGATGTATAAGGCCCAGAGTTAAAACACGAGAGGGCCACGTCCGGCTCCTTTGCAGAGGGTGCTCAAGAGGAACCCTTGAGCGGATCTTGGCCATGCCTGATCCACAAGTTGGATTATAGCACCCCGCGCTCCATGTGCAGCTGGCTCCCTCCACATGCTGCTCCCTCCTTTTAAAAAGCACACAGTGGCATTTTTATTTTCCAGGTGTTTTAGGGCGCTCATAACCGCCTCCTCCCCTGGGTCTCCTTCCACTCTAATCCCAACATCTTTCCCCTTCGTCTTTGCTTACAGCAGCCCTTGTGCCAGACAGTGATGCAAAGAGTTGCTGTGTAAATGACGACATTAGTCACGTAATAGTGAAGGGCGTTTATGGTTTAATACCCCCTGGAGCCCATAGCCGGGAGAGTAACTCTCCGCAGGGGCCCACAGCAGTCGTTGCGTTGATGTTTTATGGATATCAGCCCTGAAATACCAAATGCAGCGGCTGTTTCTGGTTGCGGCCAAAGGAGCCAAAGCAGTCGCAAGGATCATGGGCAGCATCACAAAACAGAAACACCCTCTGGCCGTTGAGGAAAGCGAAGAAGTTTTATTGTGAAGAGAGACACCGTGAGCGTAGAATATCACCCACAATCCAGCCCTCAAAGCTTAAAAAGCACCTAAATTGTACCAGTGACTGTGGGACAGCAAACCTTAGTTGACATCTGTCTATCTCGGGAGACAATGGAGAAGGGCATGAAGTTTAACAAGTGCCTTTGAATAAGGGCATTTGAAAACTGCGCATATCAAACTATTGTTTTCTCCCTCTGGGGTGACTCCTCTGATTCGTAGAGTTGAGTGGTGAAGGTCATACTCAGGGGGAGGCTTGCATGTTTGAATGCCCCCTCCCCCAAATTGTGCCTCCCTCCCTGCACACAGAAATGTAGCATGCCAAGGAGAAGCCTATGCTGAACTCTTCATTTCAATCTGCAATCTGCTAGCTTTCTGTGCCTAGGGAGATGCTCTGTTTCCAAAGGAGAGCTCTAAGATGTGAGATCTTTCACCTGCAGTCTGGAATAATTGAGCTACCTGGTCTTCTGTGTTTTATGCTTCTGCTCCTTTGCATTGGACCCGCAGCCTAACACAGAGAAGATGAGTTTGGATTTGATATCCTGCTTTATCACTACCCTAAGGAGTCTCAAAGCGACTAACAATCTCCTCCCTCTGTGAGCTGAGTGGGGTTGAGAGACTTCAAAGAAGTGTGACTGGCCCAAGGCCACCCAGCAGCTGCATGTGGAGGAGCGGGGAAGCGAACCCGGTTCACCAGATGTCAGGGAACTGCCATCGGAGCCAGAGGCGGAGGGAAGGCTCCAGAGGGATGCCGGAGAGGGTCCCAGTAGGGAGAGAGGCAGCCCATCTGATGGGGAAGGAAATCAGCGTAGCACCAGTGGAGAAGGGGGGCAGATGGGGGGATCGGCAAGGGGGCTCCAGGACTCCTCGCCGGAGACCAGCGGGGAGAGCACGGGTCCTCCGCTGCCCACACCCTCCCTGCGCAGAAGACTTCTGCGCAGGGAGAGTAGGAGGAGACTAGGCGTCAAAGAAGAAGTTTGCTGGAAGAAGTTCAAGAAACGCCCACTGACTGATTCTGCCAGCGATTGAGACAGTCACGGGTGAGAGGCTGTCCAGACAGAAAGGGTTCACCCAGGTAACCTAGCTAGGAGTGGCGACAACTTACGCACGAGCAACCCCTAGAACCATTACAACAGATTACGAGACTACCGCTCTGAACCACTACACCACGCTGGCTCTCTGAAGCACACTGAAGCACATTCAGACCCGGACTCATGCTAAAATTCAGCATGGGTTTGCAATGCCAAACTTAAGAGTCCACTCTTACCTTTCTAATATTATTTTTCGTATCCATCTTTTCCGTTAATGGAAAACACCCAAGGCCTAACCACCTACAGACTACGCAAAGACTCCTGCCTCCTATTTGAGAGAGTCCTGCTATTAGCATCTAGCATTTGTGCAAATCACCCTCAACTTGACCCCAGGCAGGAAACAAAGTGCAAAATGTTATTGTTGTTTTTTTATTATTATTATAATTTATATACTGCCCTATACCCGGGGGTCTCGGGGCGGTTCACAGTTAGGAAAACAAAGGATAAGATAGGTATAGGTTCTTCTTTCTTGCTAAGATATCCCTCTTGCCTTCCTGCCGCAGCCGAAACCAGGTGGAATGTCTTCAGATGCGAGGTCCCCTTGGCCATCTCACACACACAGTGCCAGCATCCCCTGCAGATGTTGGAAAAGCGAAAAGTTTAGCTCATTGTCTCCCATAAATAACAGACGGTGACATCTGGGAGAAAAGAATTTTCTCTTGGGAGAAAAGCAATGACAAACCTGCATCCTAAAATGCAGAGACATCACCTTGCCAACAAAGGTCCTTATAGTTAAAGCTATGGTTTTCCCAGTAGTGATGTATGGAAGTGAGAGCTGGACCATAAAGAAGGCTGATCGCCGAAGAATTGATGCTTTTGAATTCTGGTGCTGGAGGAAACTCTTGAGAGTCCCATGGACTGCAAGAAGATCAAACCTCTCCATTCTGAAGGAAATCAGCCCTGAGTGTTCATTGGAAGAACAGATCCTGAAGCTGAGGCTCCAATACTTTGGCCACCTCATGAGAAGAGAAGACTCCCTGGAAAAGACCCTGATGCTGGGAAAGATGGAGGGCACAAGGAGAAGGGGACGAGATGGTGGGACAGTGTTGTTGAAGCTACCAGCATGCGCTTGACCAAACTGTGGGAGGCAGTGGAAGACAGGAGTGCCTGGCATGCTCTGGTCCAGGGGGTCACAAAGAGCCGGACACGACTAAGCGACTAAACAACAACAACTTCCATAAATAAATGGTGGGGATCGTATTAGGACAGGCCTACATAATTTAGGAAGAATCTGAGTGCTGGAGGAAGTCCTAAGCAGTGAAGAGCAGAAGATCTATGAGTCTTCATGTCTTCTCTCTGCATTCCAGCCCATGGAAACTAGGGATAGAAGAATCTATCCATTTCAATTCCTCTCCATTTTTCATTTTCCCCAATCAGCTATCCACATCAGTTTGTAATTTTATTTAAAGTCCTCCTGCTGGGAATTTCTGGGAATCGCAGCAGGGGAGAGTGCGCTTTTGCTTGGATCCTGCTGGCTTGGCCGCTGTGGGGTAGACTGCTGTGAGAACAGGCTGCTGGACTCGTATGGAAACGTACTGGGAGCCAATGTTGGTCTTTCAGGACCGGTGTTATGTGGTCTCGGCAGCCACTCCCAGTCACCAGTCTAGCTGCCACATTCTGGATTAGTTGTAGTTTCCGGGTCACCTTCAAAGGCAGCCCCACATAGAGTGCATTGCAGTAGTCTAAGCGGGAGATAACCAGAGCATGCACCTCTCTGGCGAGACAGTCTGCGGGCAGGTAGGGTCTCAGCCTGCATACCAGATGGAGCTGGTAGACAGCTGCCCTGGACACAGAATTGACCTGCGCCTCCATGGACAGCTATGAGTCCAAAATGACTCCCAGGCTGCGCACCTGGTCCTTCAGAGGCACAGTTACCCTATTCAGGACCAGGGAGTCCCCCACACCAGCCCGCCCCCTGTCCCCCCAAAACAGTACAGTCATACCTCGGGTTACAGATGCTTCGGGTTGCGCGATTTTGGGTTCCGCACCGCACCAAACCCAGAAGTACTGGAACGGGTTACTTCAAGGTTTCGGCACTTGCGCATGCGCAGAAGTGCTAAAACACGCTTTGGGCATGCACAGAAGTGCCAAATCGCGACCTGCACATGTGCAGACGTGGCACTGCGGATTGCGAACACTGCAGGTTGCGAACGTGCTTCCCGAACGGATCACGTTCGTAACCCGAGTGTCCACTGTACTTCTGTCTTGTCAGGATTCAACCTCAATCTGTTAACCTCCATCTTATGCTATTATTATGGGATATGCATCTCCATCCAGAGCCACTAGTTCTTACTCATAGTTTACCACAGCTAGAGCTGAATCAGGGCTACGCTGTAGAGAACAGTGTCTGCTAGGGAAGTAATATATAAGGAATATTTCTCTTGGAAAGCAGATTATCTGGCTGGTCCAGTATGGAAAAGCATCTTACGTGTGGGATTTGCTAATGGGGAGAACATGGAGCAGAGAGTCCAGTCACGTTTGGATGCGAGGCTGGAGGGAAGGTACCAGTGGCAGACTTACCTGCGTAAAGTGAATCGCTGGATAATTCCAGCGAATGTGCAGCACTGGAGGCAGAGGGATCCCGACGTCCAGGCACTCTGAAAAAAGCAACCAGAATAAGCACAATAGCAAAGAAGAGCAGAGAGGAGCATTTTCTTTTGGTCATGTCTGAGCCATAGTCTAGACCAGTGTTTCCCAACAAGTGTGCCGCGAGACGTTGCCTGGTGT